GGTGTTGGAAACAATGACCCTAGATCTAAGACTTGAACGACTCGGATCCGAATGAGTTGACGGTCGACACAAGTTGGTGTGGGTGGTCGCAAACGTTCGTTACATGGATAAGTCTGTTCCACCAATCGCGTTGTTCCATCACCATGTTCCTGATAATATTCAGGCTTCCTTCCTTTTTAGGCTATTCACCGACATAATAGTATCACCTTGTTTGGCGCCAACTTTGATCGAGATCATGACGACGGGTGTTTGATACTACATACTAAGTCTGATAAACCTTGGTACTGATCATCGAAAAGTTCCGTCTAGCCATTCAAAAAGAGGTACTTTACTGTACTAGATTGAAATATTTTCCGAATTGAGGACTGGATTATGTAAATACTTAGCGTACGTGGATATTGGAAATATTCTTTAGACTCCGAAATATACAACCAAAACTCCAATCAGTAGTAAAAGTTATATTGCGATGACGAATACTCCATACTGGTAGTGCAAGCCCAAGCCAAGCCCAAGGCTTCTGTCAGCGTATGACTTTCTCTGCCGATAAGGAAGAAGGTATGTCCTTGTGTCATGGGCCCAAGGCAACTACTAAATAAGACATTGTGGCTGTACTACTTGTAGCTTGGGATCATGCCATTAGTTCTGTAGTCAGACGTGCAGGAGAGAATTGTCACAGAGGTAGTACGAGCGGAAAAATCAAGGTACACCGCTGTGATATTTCCTTGGAAACATCTCCTATATTTGGGGTCTTTGCCCCGGCAGTCATAATGTGCCTGACTCGGATACCCTTCCAGCTTGGGCCATGTTTGATCCGCTTTCAATCTGACACACTGACAAAGTCACTGCTCAGCGAGCGTGCGCGTGAATACGTGGATAAGTTGGCTGGCATCAACGGTATTATATAAACTCCGCTCTCAAAAAATCCTACTAATACTCCCTGTCACATCTCGGATATTATCTACTACCGTTAGCGCTCATAGCATGCCCGACTTCTCAAACGCAGTCGTCAGTCTTGGGTCCCTCTGGAAGAGGGCAACAGCCACGGGCCAGGTGAACTTTTCTTCTACAACATACCTCCTATTCACAATAACTGAACCATCCTTCAGGGCGGCTTATTGTCAGGAATAGATCCTTCATCCTTCACAACTTCCGATCCCCTGAGGCTATGGATTATACAAATGGGTGACTATATTCTTTTTAAAGTCTACGACACATTTCTAAGCCAGCAACAGGTATAATCATTATGATGGGGCAGCTGCTGTCACTTGGTTTGGGAAAAATCAAACAGCCGAAAGTCATCGCTGAAGTCCTTGGTGGAATTCTCCTCGGTAAGCTCATATCTCATATCGTACTAACAGCTGCTCATTTCATCGTAGGTCCAACTGCAATGGGACGAATACCTGGTTTCACCCAGCACATCTTCCCCGCTCAATCCCTCCCATATCTCTCACTCGTCGCCAACATTGGCCTCTGCCTCTTTCTCTTCATAGTCGGTCTTGAAATCGACGCCAGCATCATCAAGCGTAATGTTCGCTCATCTTTGTTCATTGCACTCTCGGCCATGGCCTTGTCCTTTGGTCTCGGCGCTGCCATCTCTGTCCCACTCTACCACAACTTCATTCCTTCTTCCGTCAAGTTTACGTACTTCATGCTTTTTACCGGCGTCTCATTCTCTATCACCGCTTTCCCCGTTCTTTGTCGCATCCTCACTGCACTAAAGCTCCTAGACACAACGGTCGGCGTGGTTGTCCTGTCAGCAGGCGTGTGCAATGATGTAGTCGGCTGGAGTCTGCTGGCACTAGCCGTGGCCCTCGTCAATGCGACCTCCGGCCTTACAGCTCTATGGATCCTGCTGACATGCCTGGCATTCGTAATATTTCTCATGTGGCCCGTTAGAATCCCATTGCTGTGGTTTGCTAGGTTCACCGGAAGTACGGAGAACGGACCCACTATGTTCTTCATGACAGTTACCACACTAATATTCTGGGCATGTTCGTTCTTCACGGACATTGTGGGCGTAAATGCTATCTTCGGTGAGTGATGACATCTGTTCCTGACGTTCAATACTTATCTAGGGTATAGGGGCGTTCCTGGCAGGGCTCATTGTTCCCCGCGAAGGCGGTCTTGCTATCGCACTAACGGAGAAGCTCGAAGATATGGTGACAATCATGTTTTTGCCTCTGGTATGGGTATCTGAATTTGTCACGTCGATAAGACTAATTAGTTCGCAGTACTTCACACTCTCTGGCTTAAATACTAACCTTGGATTGCTTAACAACGGTCAGTCCTGCCAACCATAACTCGCATTGATCATTTATGAACCTCTGCGGCAGGCACCATTTGGGGATTCACTTTCGCAATCATATGTCTGGACTTTTCTGGAAAATTCACCGCATGTACGATCACCGCACGGATAACCGGAATGAGTTGGCGAGAGTCAAGCACCGTCGGATCATTGATGAGTTGCAAAGGGTTAGTGGATTAATTTACTCTATCTTATCAAATCACTGACATTTTTTTTAGTCTCGTCGAATTGATCGTGCTCAACATCGGGCTCAATGCCGGTATTCTCACCCCAACGGTGTTCTCGATGTTCGTCTTCGAAGCGTTGATCCTAACGTTCATGACTACACCCCTCGTCTCTTTACTTTATCCTCCCGAACGCCGGACTCGTGCAGCAGTTGGAGGTGTTTCACGGGCGTCACCTGGAGATCTAGACGAAGACAGGAGCGATCATAAGTTTCCTATGACCGAGGATCAACCATGGCGCTCCCGCTTCACTGTTGTCCTCGACAAATTCGACCACATGTCCGGAATGTTGGTGGCCACTCAACTGGTGTGCCCGCCCTCTCTTGAATCACCTTTGTCGACGAGGGTATCCGACAAGATGAAAATGCCTGGGTTTAGCGTGGATACTCTTCGTTTGATTGAGCTGTCGGACCGTACCTCGGACGTCATGAAGTCCTCAGCGGTTGACACCCTCATCCACACTGATCCGCTCCTGAGTGTGTTCCGCACCTTTGGGGAACTCAATGATATACCGGTTTCACTCTCGCTTTCAGTTGTCCCTCATGACGACATGCCGGGCACTGTGGCTAATCATGCCAAACGATACGGATCCCAGCTCGTCCTCTTGCCGTGGCTATCGCCATCGTCCAACTTCGGCAATACAAGTGAAGGCCCGTCTGGCCTGCATAGCCCGAATCCATTCGAAGCATTGTTTGGCGGATCAAAACACACTGGCAAGTCCGCAACCACGATTCATTCACAGTTCGTGCGCAGAGTATTCGCAGAGAGCAAGGCGGACGTTGCGCTGTTTATAGATCCAGCTGGCACCGGCACTGGTAGTGCGCGGCACATATTTTGCCCATTTTTCGGCGGCCCAGATGATCGGCTTGCGCTCGAGTTCGTGGTGCAGCTTTGTACTAATCCCAGAATGAGTGCGACGGTTGTGAGGATGTCAAAAAGTAGCACTGAGACTGCTGCGGTTGAAAGGCCGTTGCTCGTACATCTAGATGGGAAAGAAAGTTTAGATATGCCGGATCTAGCATACCAAATGCCTGTCTCTTCAGTAAGTTATATTGTTTCTCTATCTCGGTTATTTTCTGATGCATGCTTTGTAGAATGTTGCTTTTCCAGACACAGTTTATGGCCAGACCAACGCGGAAATGCAGTTTCAATCCGAGACAGCTAATAATTTCCTCTGGGGACGATACGCCAACTCTCAACTCCCGTATGACGCACCCTCCTCGCTGAGGGCTGCCCTCTCCCGGATCGAATTCTCCGAGTCTTCATCACCGTTACCGCTACATTCTGCCATCCAGTTTGCGTCTGCGCATAAGCCTGTTTTGATAGTGGTAGGGCGCTCACGGCGCCTCGCGGGGGAGGATCACACATCAGAGCTGCACCAGATCCTTAAGGAGCGGGGCAGCGTGGGGCAAGATGTTATTAGGAAGACTATCGGTGATCCTGCAACTGCGTTTGTTGCCTCGGGGTGTGCGACTGCAGTCGTGGTTCTCCAGGCTTCGAATGTTGATACTTGACTGAGTCAAGTTTGTATCTGAGACAATTGGTTATGATCTTGGTGTATATACCACTGTACTGCATATATAGCTACCATCTAATGTCTTCGATTCCATCTTGGTGTAGTAGTCTAGTACCGCCGCATCAACCCTTGTATAATAGTGGAGTTCACAGTTGCTTTGGCGGATTGGTTCCCGGTCACTTTGCGCGCTGGCCAACATCGGAGTCGGAGTCTGATTTGCAGACGAATCCAAAGGTCGATGTTGTACATATGGTTCATTCAAGTTAGTTTGATCTAGTGCTAGTGATGACACGGGATACAAAGTCTAGCCGGAGAGAGACCCGGCATCTGCCGAAAGCCATTGCGCTCAGCGCTGCCATTCGCTGGTCCAAGCACAATCCAAGCATAGTACTAGTGCCCATTCGCCACATCACTCCACACCTGCCAACCGCATTCACGCGTGCATTGCCTTCCAGGTGGCATTATGCCAGTCTACTAGGCTACGATGGGCATTGGACCAAATTTCAATTTTCCTCCTTCCATCTCACGAACAGCCGGACATTGTAGTCATGGCGGTTGCCATTACGATGCTTTTGCTAGCAGCTAGATGAGCCAGGATGGCTGCAAGAACTGGCTTCGTTCAACATGCTCGGTGATACCAATTATTAAGGAGTCGTTTCATTGTCGGATATAATTGGACTACCTGTCATCTTCACCCCCTAAATCAAATCCGTACCGCGAATGCCCTCGAACAGCATCCAGCCACGCAGCAGACTTCCCAGCGCCACAGCCAAAAGTTATCCCAAGTGATCCGTAGTGTCATCTTTGGCAACTTCACGGGAGATCATAGAGGGACGTTTGCAATAATTCGGCCTGCGTCATGTTGGGGTGGTGATGGAACTCCGCTCTTGCGGTTGGTATTACAAGTGCAGACTAGTCAAGGTGAGATTCCCTCACTCGTATCTATCTTTCTCTTATGTCTATGCTCCCGGATGCTTTGCTTTTTCGAATCTGGAAGAGGGAGACCACAGCCCAGGTAAGCTTTTTTTCTATGACGCACCATTCGTGCATGATTAAAGGGCACTGTAGGGTGGCTTATTGTCAGGAGTAGATCCTACGGTGTTAACCACTGCTGATCCACTGAGGCTATGCATAATTCGAATATGTAAGCGTCCTCTGCTCCAAGTGTGTCTGTGGTATCAATTTAAATCCATTATAGGTATGATTGTTCTGATTGGGCGATTGCTATCACTCGCCTTGGGCAAGATCAAACAACCGAAAGTCATTGCTGAAGTCCTTGGTGGAATCCTCCTCGGTCAGCTCATCTCATATGGTACTAACAGTTGCTCATTTCATCGTAGGTCCAAGTGCAATGGGGCGAATACCTGGTTTCACCGAGCACATCTTCCCCGCTCAATCCTTCTCATATCTCTCACTCGTTGCCAACATTGGCATCTGCCTCTTTCTCTTCATAGTGGGTCTTGAAGTCGACGCGAGTATCATCACGCGTAATGCTCGCTCGTCTCTGTTCATTGCACTCTCCACCACGGCCTTGTCCTTTGGTCTCGGCGCTGCAATCTCTGTGCCACTCTATCACAACTTCATTGGTCCCCCCGTCGAGTTTGTTCACTTCATGCTTTTCACCGGCGTGTCATTCTCTATCACCTCTTTCCCCGTTCTTTGTCGCATCCTCACCGCATTGAAGCTCCTAGACACAACGGTCGGCGTCGTTGCTCTGACAGCTAGCATGTGCAACGACGTATTCTGTTGGAGTCTGTTGGCACTGGCCGTGGCTCTCGTCAATGGGACCTCCGGGCTTACAGCTTTGTGGATCTTGCTGGCATTCGTGGCATTCACAGTATTTCTCATGTGGCCGGTTAGAATCGCGCTGCTCCAGTTCGCTAGGTTCACAGGAAGTTTGGAGAACGGTCCTACGATATTCTTCATGATTGTTATCTTGATCGTGCTTTGGGCATGTGCGTTTTTCACGGATATCGTGGGGATCAGTGCATTTTTCGGTGAGTGATGTGCACTGTTGTGATAAAGCAATGCAGACCTCATGTTCAGGTGCGTTCCTGGCGGGTGTCATTGTCCCCCGCGAAGGAGCCCTTGCTGTCTCGCTGACGAGGAAACTCGAAGATGTGGTGACGATCGTGTTTTTACCTCTGGTATGGGCGCTGGATTTGCTGCGATCGATGTGGCTCATTACTTGACAGTACTTCACGCTCTCTGGGTTGAATACCGATCTTGGATTGCTTAACACTGGTCTGTCCTGCCGATAGCGACCTACACTGATCATATACTGATGCTTTCGGCAGGTACGACTTGGGGATTCATCATCGCAATCATATGTCTGGACTTTGCTGGAAAATTCGGTACCTGTACGATCACCAGTCGGATTTCCGGAATGAATTGGCGAGAGTCTAGCACGGTTGGATCGTTGATGTGTTGCAAAGGGTCAGTTTTCTGATTTCCTCTAGAATGTGTGGTCCTGACAGTCTCTTTTAGTCCCGTAGAATTAATCATTCTCAACATTGGGCTTTCTACTGGCATTCTCACCAGAAGGATGTTCTCGATGTTCGTCCTTGAAGCCCTTGTCCTGACTTTCATAACCACACCCTTGGTTCTCGTTTTTTATCGTCCTGAACACCGGGTTCGTGCGCTAGCTGGAGAGGTTCCACGTTGGTCGATTGGAGATAGGGAGGAAGATCTAGATGACCCCCAGTCTCCCGTGACTGATGATCAACCATGGCGCTCCCGCTTCACTGTTGTCATCGACAAATTCGACCACATGTCGGGAATGCTGGCGGCCACCCAACTGGCACTTCCAAGTCCTCGAGGAACTGAGACATGCGTGAACGCTCTCCGTTTGATTGAGATGCCAGACTGTAATCCGGAAATCAGGATGTCTTCAGCAGTGCGTGCCTCTATCCGTGCTGATCCGGTTATGGGCGCCTTCCGCACCTTTGGAGAGCTCAATAACATACCCGTTGCGCGTTCGCTTTGTTTTGTCCCGCATGAGGACATGTCAAAAACAGTCTCCGATCATGCGACGCAGCATGGATCCGAGCTCATCCTCTTACAATGGCTCCCGCCATCGTCCATTCACGGAGAGGACCCATGTAGTCCACACAGCACGAAAATCGAACCTACAGGTACGGGAAATACGGCAACCATGATCCACTCGCAGTTCGTGCGTAAAATATTGGCGGAGAGCAATACGGATGTTGCCCTGTTCATCGATCCGGGCACCTCTCTCTCTGGTACCGGTCCTGGGAGTGCGCGCCACATATTTTTCCCCTTTTTCGGTGGTCCCGATGATCGACTGGCGCTTGAGTTTGTGATGCAGTTATGTACTAATCCCGGGATTAGTGCGACAGTAGTTCGGATGTTGAACAGTAGTGCTGCGCGTGTTGCGGCCCAATGGCCATCGATCGTACGCCCCAAACTGGAAGACAGCGATGAAACACGGGACACAGGATACCATGGAATGCCTATTCAATCAGTACGTTGACTGTATGTGCTTCCCGTCTTTTTTTTCTGATGCAAGTCTTGTAGACTGTCGTTATGCCAAGCATATCGTATGGACAAACACACTTCGAATCTGAGACAGCCGATACCATCCTCTGGGAGCAATACGTCAACTCGCATTCCTCGTTCGACATACATCCCTCAATCTGCGCTGCGCTGTCCTGTATCACATTCTCTGAGCATTCATCGTCGATACCGCTACACTCTGCCATCCATCAGGCATCTATGCGCAAACCTGTATTGGTTGTTGTTGGGCGCTCACACCGCTTTGGATCGGACGATCTCACGCAGGAGCTGGAAAACATACTGAAGGAGCGGGGTAGTGTGGAGCGGGATGATGATACTAGGAGCACTATAGGGAATGCTGCAACTGCCTTTGTTGCTTCTGGTTGTACGACTGCGGTGGTTGTGCTGCAGGCTGCTAATGCTAGCAGTGCTGACTGAAATGGCGGAAATGTCTGGCTGGTACGTATATTTGAGATATTTAATACTGTATATAAATACTCGTACATCGTATAACGACCTCACCTAGATGCGTGTGTAATGTTGATGAAGGGTTCTTGACATTTTCCAGTTCCCACTTACTCAAGTGCTCACATTAGTGTTTGGAATATTGTTCATGATGTTCTAAGACGGTATGGATCTTCTACTTTGTTTAAGTAGTCTCTACACGATGAATTATGTCGTGTTTGATTACCGAAGTGAATACAAGGTCACTCCCAACTGACAATTGTGGCTGTGCGTACCACGAAAAAAACCTGTGAATAAACTACCATTTATGTGATCATGATCATAAGCAGCGTTATTTGAATGCTGGATCTTCCCAATTGTCCATGTTTGATCTTGGTGTATTTCTTCAGTTCATGCTTGGGCTGCATTATATTGTTGAAGATCAAACACTCGCTATTGTTGTTCTCGGTCCCACGTACTTATCTAAGCACACATAAAACTCTCATTCCCTTAGCACTCGTTCACTTTCCTCAGCTGACTCCGTCTGTCACTGAGGTTTGTACAAAGTCTAGAGAAGTCTCAGCGGAAGTTAATAGAACAACACTATATTAATAAGTACCTAGAGAAGTCTAGGTAACATTACATGTCAATGGATGTGTCAAGTACACGATATGAGATACTCACCTCAGCGGAAGTTAATAGAACAACACTGAGGTGGGAAAAAGTGCAAAGCGGGTACATAAGGGTCTATGGAGGATCTTGAAGAGATTAAAAATGAGCAGGAGATGTGTGAACGCTAGGAGAACAAATGTATATCTTAGTTTCTAGTAAGAACTTGTTGTATCAGTTTGAGTACCTAGGAGAACAAATGTATCTAAGTCTCGTTAGTACTGTAAAGTGTGCTTGAAAACATAAAATGGCTCACATCTCAGTTTCTAGTAAGAACTGAGATGCTAGGATGAAGCTACTCGAAGATTTATAGTATTTAGCATGGAAACGCGATATTGAGAAAATAAACTTTGTAATATGGATGAGTACGAGCCGACGTCAATGCGTCGCTCGCTCGTCTTCTTTTGGCTGCACTTGTACCTCTCTATTCTCCCCCTGACACTTCCATCTTGGATCTTCAGCCTCTGGTATCGATATATCGGAGTTCAACAGATCTGTGGCTGAGTGGCGAAGGTGCTGTACAGTACATAGCAAGAAGAAAGAGAAATGACATATCTAGAATGTACTTTGTGCTTATGTCAACAAGGTTAGTATCATTCTCGTATATAGGACTATGTAACTGACTACCTCTGTAGCTGTGATTGCTACAGGTATACCCAATACACTAAGTTGACTCTGTCTGTTGCTGAGCTGTGATTGCTACAGGTTATGAGCCCTGCGCACCTACAGTAAAAATTTCAAATTAGCGCTCAGAGAAAAGACTCACAAATATGTCCACCTCAAACAGAAAGTTGGGAGAGGACTTCCTTCGCATCCTGAAGCTCGCCGCCGATGGCGAGAATCGGATGATGTATGAAGAGCATCTACAATGGTTGATAGATGCTCGAGGGCTGCTCGGCCATTTGGATGGTACTGAGACAAAGCCCATAGATCCCCAGACGTTGCCTAACAAAGGAATGTCGTGGGTACCTGCTACCACAGATGAGGTGAAAGTAGTTAGCACATATAAAACTGAGCTGAAGGAATGGTGCATGGGCCAGGCCATAACAAAACAGCAAATTGCGGGAATGATCCCTGATTCCCTATTCATTCAAATCAAAAACTTAGACATGGCTAAAGAGATATTTATGCACCTTTCGAGTCTATTCGAGCAACGCTCACACGTAGTCTCTGTTGAACTACTGCGCAAGCTACAAGACTTGAAATGTCCTGAAAAAGGCAATGTCCATGAGCACTTCGACAAGATGCGAACCGCAAAGGAACAGTTGTCGTCATTGGGCCATGCACCTACAGACGAAAGTTTCATGGCCATGATCATGAGCTCTCTCCCAGCATCCTATGACCCCCATTTGTCTGCACTGACAGTGTTAGCCAAAGTATCCAGCGTAAAGCTCACCTCTGATATGTTGATGTCGACTGTTGTTGATGAATACGACCGCCAGGCCTCAAAATTGAAGAAGGCCGGCTCCTCAAACGACGACGCTGCTTACAATGCAAATAGCAATCAGCGTACACGAAAGATCAAAGGCAATTGCCACAATTGTGGCAAATACGGCCACATGCAGCATGACTGTCGAGGAGCCAGAGGGGGAGCATCCGGAGGAAAGGGCAAAGACAGGCCCAACACTAAAGGCAAGGATAAGTGGGGTGAAATGGCCGCAAGTGCCAAGGATAAGGACAATGAACCTGAAGGAGTTTGGTTAGCGCATGATGCAAATGAAACAGCAGAGCAAATAACATACATGTACACGACAGTATCCAGCTCTAACTCTCTGCATGAATCCAAAATGGAACTATTCAACTCAGGAGCGTCACAACATATGTTGTCCTATCGAGACCTGTTCCAAGATTTCGTCAGTATCACACCGAAACCCATCACAACAGCAGACAGGCATACCTTTGAAGCCACAGGCAAAGGGAATATTCAGATCACCCTGCCAAATGGCCAGTCTCAGACTCACATACTGCTAAAGGATGTGCTGTATGCACCAAAAATGGGACTAACACTAGTCTCGATCAGTAGATTAGCCAACACTGGATATGCAGCGCTCTTTTGGAAAGATATGTGCAAGATCTTCGACGCACAAAAGAAACTATTAGGACAAATACCAGTCAATAAGGGTTTGTACTGCATCAAGAGCCCAAAGAAGCCATTCACAGGAGCAGCAAACATGAAAGAAACACTCACAGTGCATGAAGCACATGCCAAACTAGGGCACATGGCGCCAAGCACAATCATACAGATGGTCCGTGACAACATGATCACCGGGATCAGCCTCGACCCATCTGAAGTGGCAATGGAGAAATGCGACTCGTGTGAGTATGCAAAAGCCACTCGAAAGCCTATCGGCAAAGTACGTGACCCCGCGTGCTGAGAGCACTTCAGCAATGAAGTCCATACAAACCTTCCCCAGTGCAAACACCTGGACATAAAGAGTATTTTGTGTCATTCACAGATGACCATACTCGATTCACGCACCTGTACCTCCTACGGACGAAAGACAAAATGTTCGACATATGGAAGACATTTGAGTCTTGGGCAAACATGCAGTTTGACGCCAAGATCAAGAGGCTGCATTCGGATTGAGGGGGAGAATACACTGGAAATCAGTTGATGCGGCATCTGTGAAGCAAAGGCACTGAGAGAAAACTCACTGTCCACGACACTCCAGAACATAACGGCCTAGCTGAACATCAGAACCGCACACTCATCAAGCGCACGCGCACGCTTCTACATGCGAGCAGACTGCCAAAATTCTTGTGGGGCAAGGCCATAATGCATGTAACCTGGCTCAAAAACAGAACCGCCACCTGGGCGCTGAATGGCATGACACCCTATGAAGTGTTATACAAGAAGAAACCTAATCTGGAGCACTTACCAGAATGGGGCAGTCATGTGAAGGTCCACTCATTGAATGGCTCCAAGCTCGATATGCAAGCAGTCAATGGCAGATGGGTGGGATTCGAACATGCCAGCAATGGACACTGCATCTACCTCCCAGAGTCCAGAAGGGTTGCCATCAAAAGGAGTGTCATATTCGACATGGCAGAGGTGGTAGTGCCTGTAGAAGGAGGTAATGTACTGGCAGACCGCACAGTACGAATTGATGATGTTGGTTCACCTGGAAAAGTATCAGTTAGCAACACAGTACAAATTGATGATGTCGGTTCAAAACTCACCACTCAATCATCACTCCCAATGACCAACCCTCCTCCTACTGACCACCTAGGTCTACAATTTAAAGCTGCAATGCTACCGTGTCGATATGCACGAGTACAAGTAGAGTCAGCATATATCAAAAGCCTGCACGATGGCACAGGCACACCAGACGGAAAAAGAAGTGACCTACCTCGTGGGATGCAGCAGGTGCCCAAAGAATCGAACTTGGTGGCTGAGCTTGGACTGGAGGGGGAGAATGGAGAGATCAACGAGGATGATGAAGAGGTCTTTGCCATGGTGGCAGGAGTTGCCAAAGTGGAGAGTAGCGACCCCACAACCGTGAAAGAGGCCTGCAACAGACTGGATTGGCCCAAGTGGGAAAATTCCATCAATAATGAACTCACCTCCTTAGAGGATGCATGCACCTGGTCCAGAGTTGAGAGGCCAGAAGGTGTGAATACAGTAGGGTGCAAGTGGGTGTTCTGGATCAAACAGAACACGGATGGGGAAATTGACAAGTACAAAGCTCGGCTAGTGGCTAAAGGTTATTCCCAGATATACAGCATAGACTATTATGACACATACACACCTGTTGCACACCTCACATCTCTCCGTACAATCCTCGCCATTGCTGCACGAAATGACTGGAACATCGACATCTTTGATTTCCACAGCACCTTTCTCAATGGTAAGCTCAATGAGGACAAGATCATCTATATGGAGCTCCCACCTGGTTTAAACATCGACAAGAAGTTCAAGCACCCCGTCGCACTGTTGCATGTCGCACTCTATGGGTCGAAACAAGGAGCCTTGAAGTGGTATCAGGAGTTGTGTTGGTTGATGAAGAGCTTAGGGATGACACGCACAGACTCTGACTGGGGAGTCTTCTACAAACATATAGGCACGGATATCTTAATTCTTGCCTCACACGTTGATGACTGTACAGTTACTGGGAGTAACAATGAGCTCATCACAGAGTTCAAGTGAGATGTAGCCTCGTGTTTCAAGCTAACGGACCTTGGTCCTATCGCTTTGCTCCTCAGCATGAAGGTTACTTGCAATCACATCGCATGCACCATTTCCTTTCCACACGAAACCTATGTTGACGCCATCCTCACGAAGTACAACTTTGTAGACATGAAGCCCAGCACAATCCCCATGGACC